ATGCCACTGCGGCAGGCTCATTATGTCCGCGCTCATCGCACCCGATTGCGAAAAGTCCTGCGCCCCAAACGTATAGCTCGCCAGCGGCGGCATCGGTGTCTGCAACGTCACTACCGGCGTATTCAGTGACGTCTGGCTCTGGCGCTGCTGCAATTAGCCAAATATAGATTAGTGTCTCTGAATTATGGCCAACATAGAAATGCATCAATAGCAGTTGTAGTTGAAGAGAATCTACTATGTATTACTGCTAGTATAATATTTATATAAGTTTGATACAGCTAACTGCATAGATTTTGAAATATATTTTTGATTGGGATTTTGAAAGGATAAATTTACTATTCATAAATTCCATTATCGTAGCTCTCCTAAAATTACTTGATTTAAATACCTTCATATATTGTATTATTTAGCTCTAAATATCTTACATTTAAGCAATCTATGCAAGCAGCTTCTCAGCTTCTTTTTCACCCTGCTTCACTCTTCAGCTATTCATAAATGCATTGCATAAGATACCTTACATTATTCAGTGTTGCATAATTCTAGTGGCTTCAAGAAGAGCTTGTCATGAATAGGCCTGCAGTGCGTACAGCGTGAGCTGTGAGCTAAAATACATTATATAATAATCTACGCTGAATGCTCTTATGCAATGTATATCCCATGGAATAAACGTCACTCTAAGTGGGTGTTCATGGTTAGTGTTGTATAATACTATTATTAACTAACTATTTCATTGAATGGTGTTGTATTACACAACTAAAAAGCATGGATATAGATTACAGTTAAAGTTCGTAAATTTTCGCAACACATTACTTTATATAACAAAAATTGTAAACACTCTTTGCTTTACATATATACCTTAAACAGTGTTGTATAAGCACGTAGACTACAGGCTAACATTAAAAGTTTTTCACTTTTCCTACCCTAACTACAACTTAATTAGTCCACATATAACTTTCTGTTTTCCAACACTTAGTTTACAGCTTAAATAGAGCACAACTTACATCTGCATAGGCAACATCGTCCGCTGTCGCCGACATATTCGGCGCTATGGTGGGCGGTATGACGACACGCAAATTGGAAGCTCTGCCATTCTGGCTGCCCGGCGATTGCTGTTTAATGGGCAAATGATGCGCTGCAAGCATTTTGTATATTAATTGTTAAGTACATATATCAGAGATTAGGCTGATGATCCACCGTACACACTGTGATTAAGTGCGCCCAAGTGGAGGAGACAGTGGGTGGGGTGGAGACAGTAATCAAGAGGGGGCGTGTAACAGTTGACTAAAAACTCAGCTAATTGTATGTGTTATGGGGATATGTGTGTGTGTGTGTTTGCTTGGGTGTGTGTATGTAAGTGAGTAAGTGTCTCTATGTGAGTGTGTGTGTGTGTTAGGTTCCCTTATTGTAATATGAATATTGTCAATAATGCCCACCTATGCCAGGACTGGGACCTGGACTGGGTGATCCCACAAGCGGCGAATGTGAATGTGGATAACCGTTTGACATCTCCAACATGGTACCCGATGGATAGACTGATGTATGAAATATATAAAGAATATATAGATATGCAATAGTTTATTTTTTCTTATCACATAAAAGTGGGGAAAAACAAAATTGAAAATCAAAAACAAAAACAATTTGCAGGCAGTATTAGAGGTAAGTTCAAGAAATTAGGACCCAAAATAGTTGTTAAATCTGCCTAATTAACGAGTTGTGCATGCAAAAAGTAAAAAAAAAAAAAAAAAAAAAATTAAGTAACGAGTTAGCTCTGCTATCTGCGTAGAGTTGGAGTCACTTGGTGTGTAAATGTAAAAAAAAAAAGGAAAATCACAAGGCAAGACAAAACAAAATATGAAATAATAAAGTAACGAGTAACGAGTAACTTGTAGCGAGTAGCTAGCAACGAGCAGCGATTAGCGCGCAACGAGTTCAGCTCATAGTTAAAAAAAAGTCAGTAAACGAACGAAAACAGTAACAGAAATTGTAATAAATGAAAGAAAATTGTGCACCCGAGACACTGTACTAACTTATTAAGGACATCCCACCTGAATCCGTCTCCGAACTCGATGGACGTGGGCTGATGTTTGTGTGGGACATTTGTGGGCTGGCCTGCAGCAGATTCTCACCGTAGGAGCCTGGCACTGGCACCGATACTGGCAGCGTGTAGCTCGTGTTTGGCATGGATCGATTTGGTGCACCGCCACCGCCGCCGCCTCCTCCTCCGCCGCCGCCGCCCGTAACACCGCCAATGTTCATTTGGCTGCGCTGCATCATATTCTGAAAATCCTCGTCGATCTTATTGTATTTGGCTTCGGTGCGGGGTGTTAGCGTATAGTCGGCCTCCGCTTCGGGTGAATCCGGTGACATGACGCCGTTTTTGTTCTCCTTCTGCAAATGACAACGGCACACACACAAAACAGACCGAGAAAGAGGGAGAGAAAGAGAGAGAGAGAGAGTGGGTGAGTGAGTGTGTTTATGTGTGTGTGAGAGAAATTTGTGTAGTGGTAATTGGCTGCGACAGAGTGAGACTAGGGTGGGGGTGCACTTGGCACTTGACACGTCGCCGCTTCGTTGATGTGCTAAATTATGTAAATCTTGTCTACGCTCTGCGCGGCATTAACATTACAAAACAATTTAAAAGGCAGCAAACAAAAGACAACAACAACAACAGCAGCAACAACAACGCCAAGAAGAGCCGCGACAATGTCCGCATTAGAAATGCAAAATTCATTGGCGTCCCACCGGGCGCTTCCGCCTGACCCTTCAAAGCTCTTTGTTAGGGCTCAAAACGAAAAACGTTTGCTTGCTCAGTTGCATAGCTCTGCTTATTGTTGTTGTTGCTGCTGCTGTTGTTGTTGCTTAGTTTATTGTTTTGTTTGTATTTTCCGCGTGGCTGCTGCGCTTTTTACAGTTCACTTGACTTTCCATAATTTTATGCAAGCGCCGCGCGATAAATATCGATAACTGTGTATAAGCAGCGATACACGAAGTAGACATGAAAGGCGAATATCACGTGTAACGAGAGTCAAATACAACGAGTAGAGTTTATAACAAGTAACGAGTTTCGCGAGTAACGAGTGTGTAGTATTGGAACTGGCGAGTAGAGACTATAACGAGTACCGACTGTAGCGAGTAGAGACCATAGCGAGTAGCGATTGTAGCGAGTATATCGAGCTTCCAAGTATCTCAACCGTAGCTAGTATAACGAGTAACAGTAATAACGAGTATCACGGATAGCGAAAACAAGTAACGAGTAGATGCAATAACAAGTCGTTACGGTGCGTAGCGAATGTATTACATAGGAAGTATACCGAGAGCTAAATATAACGGTTATCAATTATCGAAATAACGATAATTGAAAGTAACGAGTAATAATCACTCTAGCGAGAACCGAGTTTAACGATTAGTAAATGCAAAGAGTTAATTAACTTACCTCAATGATATTCTTGTTGGTTAGCGATTCGTGTGGCTCATTGTATTCGGTATATTTGAGCAATACACGATCCATATCGGTGCTGGCATATTGATAGAGCTTATTACTGGACGAGAAGATGATCAGCGCTATCTCGCAATCGCACAGCACGGACAGCTCATAGGCCTTCTTCATGACGCCAAACTTGCGTTTGTTGAAGGTCACCTGCGGGGTAAAGAAACACACAGAAAGAGAAAGAGAGAGAGAGTGAGCGAGAGAACGGTTAAAATGAAACAAAAGCGAGCCAACAAAACTGTTCACAATTGGCTGTTCAAATATTTATGGGAAATGTAATTAGAGGCTTCGTCTCATAGACCAGCACTGACAGCGATTGGTAATGAATCGATTATGGCCAAGTCAAGGCAAGAGGGCAACCGCATTGTTGTTGTGGCCATCAGTTATGACGCGTTTACGACTTGGTTAGGCATTAACCTTTACAATGCCGCCAATGTCCTCTGCATGAAAGAGTTTCAATCACCAAAGCACGCACACGGCCCGAGCGAATTGTTCGTTTGAGGCAAAGCAACAGTTAGAACAAAGCTAAAGGGTTGTTACAGTGTGTGTGTCTGTGTAGGTGTATGAATTAGAACTAGTTCATTGAACATTAACGAGAACATTTTATACGGGAATTGAACTAATGAAACATTATATGCGAACTAGGCTTTAGATATGCAGTCTACTAGTTCTCAAAACTGGGTTTAGCAGAACTAAGAACTGAAATGCAAACTGGATTCTGAAAGAAAGACATAAATTAAAGAACTAGTGAAGCTGTTTAGAGAACTATATATTTTTAGGCATATATCAACGAACTTAAGAACAAGTTAAATATATTTAATAAATATTCAATAATGAATCAAAACTAGTTCACAGTTGCCCACACTCATACTCTCGATATGCAAATATTTTAATTAATTTTTCATAAACTATTTTCTCAAACATTTGCTCAAGTTCAGCCCAATTTTAGCTGCATTTGGAGTGCTTCCGCCTGTTCTTCATTTAGTTGAAGCCTTTTGAATTGTTTTCAACGATTTTAATTAATAAATTTCTAGGCATTCATTTGCTATCTCCTTACCACAAGAAAACTTGCAGTTGCTTAAATATTTCGTGTACGCCCCCCCAGAATATTAAGCATACGCAACGTTTGACTCACCTGTCGATTGCGTTCATCGGTGATGCGTGAAATCTGAATTTTTTTGCGACCCATGGCAACAGATTTCGATTTGATACACCCAAATGCTGTTGACAATAATAATATTTCCTTATTGATGTTGTTGTTGTTGTTTGCTCCACTTCCTGTTGCTGCGGTTGTTGTTTTTTTTTTTTTTTTTTTTTTTTTGCTGGCTCAGATGTGAGGCAGCAGTTAGGCTTACTCCTTGTTGTTGCTGCTGTTGTTGTTGTTGCTGTGGCAAACGTTGGGCATATTATATTTATATAGATATATATTTATTCTGATCTATAGAGATATATAGTCTGTATATAAGTGCTGGACGGCTTCTCGAAACGGCAAAATGTTGGTTTTCTTTTCGCTTGTTTTTATTTATTGTTTGCTCTGGTGATTGTATATATAAATATATTTATTTGTTGCAGTGTAAAGTGTATTCTCAGGTATCTGCAAAAGAGTGAGAAAAATAATGAATAAATTAATTTACATATACATATGCATATACAAATATGCTGACTGGGCAGCTATTATCTGTGGCCAGCCGGATATCGCTAGACGATTCAACTCGGGCTTAACCCATTTGCCCGCTGACTTCAAAAGGTGCGCCTGGCTGAGCAGGCAGTGGCGCAACTTGTTGACGCTTCATTGGCCACGTGCCGAAAGTTCAATGCACCTATCTTAGTCTAAGCACTTTGCTCCAGCTGCTGACCCATTTATTTTTTTCTGACTAGGCCACATTAGCCAGATTCCTTGGATTAATTGATGCTCTGCTGCGCGTTGGCATTGCAAATCCTTTATACCGTTGTTTTATTTTATTTTTTTTTTTTTGCCTTGGCTCTAGCCTTCGCCCTTTATAAAGTGCGGCTCGATGGACACGCTCTCACGCGTGATTAGCACCGTTCGCCTATGCGTACGCTTTGATGTCCTTCAGGTGTCACATACACACACACACACACACTAACAACAACGCCCACCTACGCACGACCACAATGAGCCACGCTTTCTACATTAGGTATTCATCAAAGCATAACAAGGCAAAATAAATAAACAAAAAAAAAAAAAATAAATAATAAAAAAATTGAAAAGTTTTAAAAAAAAAAAAAAAAGAAAAAAAAAAATTAAAACAATGCGTGGAAAAGTTATATTATTGAAAAAAAATCCTATGAAAATCTTATACAACTTTTCAGTTCTTCAAATATGAACTTATCAACAATAAATAATAAGCTGCAATGCATAGATGATAAGCAATGTTAGTTCCCATAAAATCGTTTGCAACTAAAGGAGAGTTACTTTTATTTCAAGTTAACATAGGCATTACTTTGCAGTCCTCTGTTAAAGTTGTTCAGTGCTGTTATGTTATGGTAAGTACAAAGCCTTTTATTCGCAACTGTTATACACTGATGTTAAATTAACACTCTAACATTTTCTGTTATATTCTAAAGCTGTTATTGCTACTTTCAATATTTCTCAAGCAATTACTATGATGCTGCTGTTATATTGATACACCTGTTATTCTCTTTAACATTAACAACTATGTTAAGCAACTGTTGCCATCTAGCACGCTACTTTCCAGCTGTTAAATGTACATTCGGGGCACTTTAATATACCCATTTGATGGGGCACTCAAGTAGAGGATATAAAATAAAAACAGACGCCTGCGGCTACTGCCAAGGCACGTGGCTGAAAAACGCGACTAACATCTTAGAGCAGTCTCCATTAGCTAACACACACACACACACACACACACACACACGAACTCACACACTCTCTGTATGTGTGCGTGTGTCTACTGTGTAAACATGGCAATTCTTGTTGCTTGCCACGCAGGACTTGCCACGGCGGGAAAGCGCAAATTTCCGAGTGCGAGTGCCGGAAATCGAGGCAGATGAATTTCAATTGCTCCGCTTGCCTCCCGTTTGTCGTATGTCCTTTTTTTTTACCGTCAACTCTGCTCACTCACACTCTCTCTTTCTGTGTGTGTTGCTGGCTTGTTTGTCCTACGGCCAGGACGACGTGGCTGCCAAGGCAACGTTTGCTTAAAAACGAGCGAGCCTCACGCAGCAACAACAATAAGACGAACAACAACAACAGCAACAACGACAATGACGACCTACGCAATATGTTTCAGCTTTCAACCCTGGACTGCCTGCCTGCCTGCCTGCCTGCCACACACAGCTGGGGTAAGAGCTTCAACCTTGACGTACAGCCTGAATGGGGCAACAGGACACAACCCGAAAAATTCGATACAACAATGATTATGTGGAGCGTGCGTGCGTTTTGTATGCTATGTCATTATTATTGAAATAAAAGTAAGCAAGACGCAAGAGGTTTCGGGTCGCTGTATGTGTGTGTGTATCAATAAATCGATAACATATCGATAATACTAAATGCAATATATTTATATATACAATATATATGTATATATTTTAGTTTGGCTAGTTAGTTATTTAGTTTTAAACTTAGTCACTGCATTTTCTCTTGCTATAACAATTCACATTACGCATACGCAACGTTGCACAATGTAGGGAGCTAATGAAGACGCCCACGCCAAACTAATTTATAAACTCATTCACGCATAAACACCCACACACCCACTATCGAAAGCAAATAAAATAGTTTCGAGTGCTATCCAAAAGCAATTAAGATACATAATTAGTTTGATGAAGTGCATCAGGTAGCAAATTGTGTTTGAATGGAATAGCACACGTGATGTGAGCAAAAGATGTGTGTAGAAATGTGTGGAATATGGAGTAGGAGAATTTTGGAATGCTAGAACTTGAACTTTGATATATAAGTAAATATGTATTATTTTTATATGCCAAAGAAATGTATTTGTGAATTTCTTGAGAATCTAGAACTTGAAAAAAAAGTATTTAAATTTTATTTCATTTAAGAGCCAAAAAAAAAATAAATATATATGTTAATGTATAAAAAAATTAATAAAAAAATTTTTTCATATATTGAAAACTATTCTATACTCTGATTATGTTGCTTAACCCCAACATTCCTTATAAAAATTTAACCACAAATTGTTGTTTGCTTAGGGCATAAAATTTTAATTATATATGTGATGTACATATCCCATAAAAACTTTTTAAAATTCCCAAACTCTTAGCTATTATCAAATCCAAATTATTTCAAATACTTAGTTTAAGCTCGCTGCACGCAATGCAAACAAAATTGAGCTTTGAGTTACACAAAAACCGGAAAAAAGTTGATATCTTAATTAAAAGTGAACAAATCCGAATACATAATCAATCCTACGACCTTTGGGTCAAACGACAAATATTGACATTGAACAGGCAATCTATTGACTCGATATTGATGGCCAGCGAGTGTATAATACGGAGATCTCTGTCGAGGCCGATAGCCGTTGATATGGGTACCTTTATAAGTCATTAAACCACTTGGCTGCGGCTATGAAATGAGAATGTTACTCAGCTCATATATGTGTATATGCATACATATATTTACCGAAGGGGCAGCGTAACGATAACAAAAACTAAACGAATACAAATCGGAGCTCAACCTCTAAATCATGATAAGGACCCGCATCGAAGCAATAACAACAACAACAAGAGCAGCAGCAAGAACGACAAAGAAGAGAAATGCGTCACAGAGTAGCACGAAAACATGAATAATTGAAGCTGTTTAGCGGTTGGGTCGGGGGCGGGCCACAAATAAGGTGGGCGGGGCAGTTGGGAGTGTTGAAGCGTCGCCTGGCAGCTGGCAATTAAAGCGTGTGTACGCTCTGTGTGTGTGTGTGTGTGCGTGAGTGTGCATAGCTTATTAAATTCAAATTAATTCAAATATTCGATACGTTTCGCATTTCAATGCAAAAGGAAGAAGAAAATATTGAGTTGCAATAGGAGCTTAACTTATAGATAGCACATCAAAGATACAAATACAGCAGCAGCAGCAGCAGCACACGCAGCAGGACATCATAGACAGCGGCAGCTCATCAAACGTTTGAATTACAAATTTATAGCATACTTATGAGCGTCGCTGCATGGTGGAGTGAGCAGGAGGCAGGGGCAGAAAACGTTGCTCAAAGATCTTGAATGCTAGCAAATTTATGTGGATTGTGATATTTATAAATACAAAATATTATTAGATATATTAAGTGAATAATTCATTTATTTTTTATCAAATAAGAGTTCTTAATCAACAGAAAACAGTAGAATTAAAAACCGGATAAAATGTTGTACTTAGCCCAATGATCATGTTTGGCTTCGATGTTGGTTTAGCGGATATTGCATAAGAATAATATTTGTAAAAATATGTAAATTTTAAAATAAATAAAATAGTTGAAATAATCAAAGATTCATTAAATGTTGAAACAGGAATAGTTAAAATAATAGATTTATTAAATCTTAAAACAGAATAAGCCTAGATTTCAGTTTAAACTAATAATAAGACTCTTGAATGTACTGTACAAGCAAATATTTATAATTAAGTCATAGAGACCTCAACAGTCCTTGAGGAAATATTCAGAGACAGTAATCAACCTCTAATCAGCAAAATTACTTGGCTGTCAACCAAACAGTGAGCAGAGCGAACTATGAGATCACTGCGACTATATGTACGAGCAGACAGATATGGGAGACACCCAAACGGACAAAGACTTAAAAAAAAATACTAGATCTTCCGAGTCAGACAAACAAACTTGGAATTCAAGTTCATATCTCCCTTTTTAGACTGACAGGTTCATATGACCATAGACCACTTTCTCTATCAATACAACATTCTCTACCCACAAAAAACATAATTTGACAAGTGTTTTCAATTCCCCATATATCATTTGGCAGCATTGGCCACTGCTGCTGCGCCCGTTGCTGCTGCTTCCGCTGCGGCTGTTGCTGCTTATCAATGCGATGGGCTTATCAAAATCTGCATTTGCCATCTCAGTGGCCACTTGGCTCTGCCGGTCAGGCGATTAGATTGTTCAAGAGCAGCAAAACTAGCCTCAAGTGCCGACAAATAATAACAAAGAAAAAGTGAAAAACTGAAAAAGTGAAAAAGTACGTAAACCTAGGTAAGCAATAAATCAAAGTGACACGTCACTGGAATGTCTGTGTAAATGTGTAAAGGTGTGCTCTCTGTATTGTTACCAAAAAAAAAAAAAAAAAAAAAAAATACAAGTTAAGCAAAGAAGAAACGGCAAAGCTTTGCACAAGTGTTAACTGTGACTAATTGCAGGTAGCAGGCGACCAGGTGAGCTAATCAACCCGGACACACGCCAAAGTGTTGGCGCCCTGGGGTCAAAACTTAACACAGTTTGTTGCTGCAACAATTAAACAGTTGCGGTTGCAGCGACTGCGATGCAACTTGACTGGGTCAGCGCCACTTGAGCACACAGCCAACAACAACAGCAACAACAACTGTGGCGACAACAACAGCAAAAAAAAGGAAGGAAGGAAATTAGTAAGCGATTTTTTTCCAAAAAA